AGAGATTTTAAAGAAGTCTGCAGTGAGATGCAGAGTTCTTGAAATTGAAACGTTGTATCAGGCAAAGCAGCATTTTTACCTGTATTCTTTGTTCATTAATGGGATGAGGATGTCGCTGGCCAGGTAGCATTTATTGCCCATCCCTCATTGCCCAGAGGCCAGCTAAGAGTCAACCACATTGATGTGGGTCTGGGGTCACATGTAGACCAGACCAGGTAAGGATGGCAGTTTCCTTCCCTAAAGGACATTAGTGAACCAGATGGGTTTTTCCGACAATTGTCAATGGATTCACGGTCATCATTAGAATCTTAATCCCAGATATTTATTGAATTCAAATTCCATGATCTGCCGTGGCGGGATTCGAACCCAGGTCCCCAGAACATTATCTGGGTCTCTGGATTAACAGTCCAGCAATAATGCCACTAAGCAATTTAGCCAATTAATTTAAACCAGGCCTTGATAGCAAAACTCAATTAAATTTAAACTGATGGTTTTGACAATCTAGAACCGATCGTATTGTGGGAAATTAATAGGTCACCAAGGGTATAAGAGAAGAGGTTATTTGAAAATTGGTGTGAGAGCGAACTGCCATCTGAAGAGAAACTCACTAGCTCTCACAGAAAGCTCTAAACTATGCGTTAAGCACCAGCTAAATAAAGGTACGATGGCACTCTTAAAGTTCCTGACAAAAGAATTTGATGGAGAAAAGCATTGAATGGAAAACAGTGGCAAAGGCAAAGGACATTCCGCAAGACTTATCCTGGCTCTAATTTTGAGAGACTGTTTTAATTTATTTTTTTCTTATTACCTTGGTTTTTATAAGTGGGACTTGTGTTTATTGGAACAGCATACAATTAGAATTTTGTTTTATTTGGGAATTTTTAGTAGTTAATGAGGGAATTGTTTGTTTTGTTAGTAGTTCTGTTAATTTGTTTGCTGTAAGAGTTAAATAAATAAATTGTTACTTGTTACTTATAAAGTGTTACTTTTTATAAAGTTACTTATAAACTTATACTTACACCTTTATAACCGATTTGGATGAGAGGCAGATTATACCACTTTTCACACTTCCTTTAACAGATTGCGAGGCAAGGCAAGCTTCTCCGGGTGTTTTGGTTTTAATTCTTGGAGAAGTGTTGACCAAACCCTCCATAACAGGAGGAAGGCAGTACAGGAGATCCTGTGACCATTCCCCTGTGTGACGGACCATTTTGGATACTGTTAAGACACCTCTTGGGAGACAGCAGCAGGTCTATGGTGTAACAGCTACTTCTGTGCAAGAGTGGAGGGAGAAGAATGGCAAGCATATAGTAATTGGGAATTCATTAGTAAGGGCAATAGACACCATTTACAACTTCAGAAATAGTATGTTGCCTCCCAGGGTCAAGGATGTGTTGTTAACAAGGCATTCTAAAAGGGCATGGTGAGCAACCACTGGTCACGATGCATATCGACAGTCCAGCTTACAGGGCCTCATTGGCTATTTGAACTCAAATATAGACAGTTGGATTATTCCAGAGGTGCTGTTCAGGAGGGTTTAGTCTAGAATGGCAAAGTGATGGGAACCTGAACAGGAAGACACATGGGAAAACAATGGGCAGTGTATAGGCAATAGCTATTAGTCAAGGATCATATGTATGATTTAAAACATTTTTTCATTGATATCTGGTACAAAAGAAAAACAGGAAAGGTGATTTAACCATGCCTGAGGAGAAATTAGGGATAGTATTGGATCCAAAGAGGAGACATAAAGTTGCCAGAAAAAGCAGCCATCCTGAAGCCAGGGAACATTTTAGAATTGAGCAAATGAGGACAAAACGATTGATTAAGAGGAGAAAACTTGCAGGGGACATAAAAACTGACTGTAAAAGTTTGTCTAAATATGGGACAAGAGAAAAGATCAGCAAAGACCAATGTAGGTCCCTTACAGTCAGAAATAAGGGAAATTATAATGAGGAACAAAGAAATGTCAGAGGAATTGAACAAATATTTTCTTTTCCTTTCACACAAGAGCAATGATTACCCAGAAATGTCAGGAAGCCAATTGAAGAAAATCACTATCTGTTTAAAAAAAGTGCTCAATAAATCAGAGATAGTAGGAACTGCAGATGCTGGAGAATCTGAAACAACAAGGTGCAGGGCTGGATGAACACAGCAGGCCAAGCAGCATCATAGGAGCAGAGAGGCTGACATTTTGGGCCTAGACCCTTCATCAGAAAAGGGGGAGGGGAAGGGGGTTTTGA